ACTTAAATGAATTAATTTGTACAAGTTATACTGACAACATACATATACATTTCGGTAGCCTACTCATCAGAACTTCACAGTTAAGCGTGCTTGACCTGGAGTAGTACAGGGATGGGTGACCTACTGGGAAGTTTCCCAGAAATTGCACAAGTAAGGATAAAACACGCTAAATAGTGAAATATTATGAAATAGAACCCTTGAGAGATCAAATATGAGGATTATTACATTAATAAATTTATTAAAATTAAAAAAAAAAATTATAATTTTCGACGGGTAAAAAAAGAATCGTAATATTAATTTAGAGGCAGTTGGTGCAACAGTTGATGAAAGGGTCGCAATGTTAATATAGAGGCAGTTGGTGCGACAGTTGATGAAAGGGTCGTAATTCCAAGTTTGCGACGGTTTGTGCAACGGTTCTGATAACCGTCGCAAACTTGACTGGTGATGGATAATTCTGCGACGGTTCCCAAACCGTCGCAATGTTGTCTTTGCGGCAGTTATAACCGTCGCAATGTAGGCCATATAACTATCGCAAAATCATCATTTTCTTGTAGTTTATGTAGTCTGTGTCCATACATGTGCATTTTTAATGTTATATGATAAATTGATACCTTTATGTCTGGGATGAGTGAGATGTAATGTTGTTGTTAATATATTTATGTTATATCTGTCTTGTTTGTGTTTGGTTATTCGGTGTGTATTTCTACACTGTGAGCCAGAGTGAGATGTTTCTAACTCCCTTTTCTCTTGTGTTGTTTTCTCTAACTGTCATACAGGTTATTATCAGCATGAGGTTGAGGATGTTGGTGATGAAATTTAGGCTTCTACGTTGGGATTTTCTCTGATAGGACATGTGACATCGGGGCATAAATAGGATTAGATTAGGATGTTATTTTTATTAAATTATTTTGAAAAAACTCAGTTTCATTTCCTTGTAATTTCTCTACATGTTATTTGGATTAAGTTTATGAATGTGAACTCTTTATCCTTATGTTGTTGGAGATTTGATTGTCTTATGTTGAAGAATTGTAATTTATTTTATATAATTACTATATATATATGTTGGGGTAGAGGGTGTCACATTTACAACACTGTCAATGCAAACAAGTCAATAACATCCATCCCATGAACTGCTCTCCATTTGACATTCCTAACATTGACTGCTGAAAACCCCCAACCCAACATTAAATACTTGAATCTATGGTTTAATTGTTTCGCATATAGTTACATATTTATATCACTTAAGTTCTTGAACTATAACAACCCCATTCTATAATTTAGTGAATTACCATAACCCTTTAGAATAAGCACCTCCAAATCATCTGTCTACTCTAGCAATTCAATTTATCCACACAGAAACTAGCATCTTAATAAACATGCAGAATACATTAGCATAATAAAATCTAGACATTAGTTAATATGGATTTTGATCAAAAGTGGAAAAGTAAAGGGAATACAGGGGTATGTAACTACTTTTGGTCTCCATTTTTTGGTGGACCATTGTACCCTTCAGATGTAAAAAAATCTTATATTTTCTTTGAATAACTATACACAACTTTATAATATTATGTCTATATATAACTATTAGATACACAAGCAATCCCTCTAGTTTTTTAAAAAAATATTTTGTAATTATTGTAGTGATTTTGATTTTGTAACTGACATATAACAATTTTTTATTTAAAATATATTAATTATTTTGGTCAATTTTTTTTTTTTGTAATTGAAACATTTCAAATTTAAATTTTAAGATAATTTAATATATTAAAAAAAAAGGTTTATAGAGTTAAGGTTTACTAGATTTTTTTTATATTAGAACTATCTTCTGATAAAAATGATTTATAAATTTTTCATTCATCTAGTGATATTTTTTAGTAACACCCAAATGTAAAAAATTTAATTTAAAAATTATAAATAATTTGATAACTAAAAAAAGGTTTTATGAATATTATAATTTAACATATCGAAATTGATTCTAATGATTTTTGTTTTTGTAACTAACATATTTTAGAAATATAATTTTGAATTTTTAAATAATTTATAAATTAAATAAATTTTATAAATATTATAATTAGTAATAAAAAAATATTTTTTTTATCTAATCGTTACGATAAATTATTATAATTAGCTTTTACAATTTAATTATCTATCTTTTTTACTGAACTTTAAGTGATAAGAAAAAAAGGTTTAGAGTTAATTCAAAATAATGTCTCTGCTTCAACTCACTGATCGGATATGTTCCTCACCAACATCGCCAACTTCCTCCTCTACCATCCGCAAAACGCAGCTCCTTGATGTCATTTTCGAGGACTTGATTCGCGTTTCCAATTCCAACTCCGTTTTGTTCTCTTACTTTCGCATCCTCTGCGCCTCGAGATCAAAATGCTAATTGAAGATTGCTCCAATGGAAGAAGCAAGTTCAATCTGCTCGTGCAAATCGAAACCGTCGCCGACACCTTCCACAGGCTCACCGGAGAACTATCCACGCTCCTCGATGTTTTCCCTCTCCAAGAACTCCACCTAAATGACGACGTTCAGGAACTCGTTATCCTCCTGCGGAAACAGTGCTCTGAATCCATACCGTTCGTCGAAGCCGAACAGATTTCTTGTGTAAGTTGTTGCTATCTGTATAAATACGAAGATCTGTGCTGCAAGTGTTGTAAGATTTGACTTTCTTTTCTTTTATTGGATTTTCATTTTATGATCAGATTGGTGTTGATAACATGTGCATAATCGTAGATGTTGTGAAACGGCAACCCTTAGGTTTACCAACTGAAGAAAAAATAAGCAATGCAATGGGTGAAATTGGACCTTCAATAACACTGGCCAGCTTATCAGAGATTCTAGCATTTGCTGTAGGATCATTTGTTTCTATGCCAGCATGCCATGTTTTCTCCATGATTGCAGGTTAAAGATTTTTCTCCTCTCTCCCTGTATTTTGGACAAAAGGAATACTAAATTGACATCTTTGTATGCTGAATTGAAAATTTTAACCTATACATATAAAAAGAAGGGTAAAAATACAACTCCTTTAGAAAGTGATTTTACAATTTCTTAACTCGTGGATTTTCTTTTCTATAGCTTTGGTGGTTCTACTGGACTTCCTTCTACAGATTACTGCCTTTGTAGCTTTGGTTACATTAGAGTTTAATGCTTCAACATGAAAGGACTCTCATGTAATGAAACATATGTTGTTGGAGATTTGATTGTCTTATGTTGAAGAATTGTAATTTATTTTATATAATTACTATATATATATGTTGGGGTAGAGGGTGTCACATTTACAACACTGTCAATGCAAACAAGTCAATAACATCCATCCCATGAACTGCTCTCCATTTGACATTCCTAACATTGACTGCTGAAAACCCCCAACCCAACATTAAATACTTGAATCTATGGTTTAATTGTTTCGCATATAGTTACATATTTATATCACTTAAGTTCTTGAACTATAACAACCCCATTCTATAATTTAGTGAATTACCATAACCCTTTAGAATAAGCACCTCCAAATCATCTGTCTACTCTAGCAATTCAATTTATCCACACAGAAACTAGCATCTTAATAAACATGCAGAATACATTAGCATAATAAAATCTAGACATTAGTTAATATGGATTTTGATCAAAAGTGGAAAAGTAAAGGGAATACAGGGGTATGTAACTACTTTTGGTCTCCATTTTTTGGTGGACCATTGTACCCTTCAGATGTAAAAAAATCTTATATTTTCTTTGAATAACTATACACAACTTTATAATATTATGTCTATATATAACTATTAGATACACAAGCAATCCCTCTAGTTTTTTAAAAAAATATTTTGTAATTATTGTAGTGATTTTGATTTTGTAACTGACATATAACAATTTTTTATTTAAAATATATTAATTATTTTGGTCAATTTTTTTTTTTTGTAATTGAAACATTTCAAATTTAAATTTTAAGATAATTTAATATATTAAAAAAAAAGGTTTATAGAGTTAAGGTTTACTAGATTTTTTTTATTTGATTGTCTTATGTTGAAGAATTGTAATTTATTTTATATAATTACTATATATATATGTTGGGGTAGAGGGTGTCACATTTACAACACTGTCAATGCAAACAAGTCAATAACATCCATCCCATGAACTGCTCTCCATTTGACATTCCTAACATTGACTGCTGAAAACCCCCAACCCAACATTAAATACTTGAATCTATGGTTTAATTGTTTCGCATATAGTTACATATTTATATCACTTAAGTTCTTGAACTATAACAACCCCATTCTATAATTTAGTGAATTACCATAACCCTTTAGAATAAGCACCTCCAAATCATCTGTCTACTCTAGCAATTCAATTTATCCACACAGAAACTAGCATCTTAATAAACATGCAGAATACATTAGCATAATAAAATCTAGACATTAGTTAATATGGATTTTGATCAAAAGTGGAAAAGTAAAGGGAATACAGGGGTATGTAACTACTTTTGGTCTCCATTTTTTGGTGGACCATTGTACCCTTCAGATGTAAAAAAATCTTATATTTTCTTTGAATAACTATACACAACTTTATAATATTATGTCTATATATAACTATTAGATACACAAGCAATCCCTCTAGTTTTTTAAAAAAATATTTTGTAATTATTGTAGTGATTTTGATTTTGTAACTGACATATAACAATTTTTTATTTAAAATATATTAATTATTTTGGTCAATTTTTTTTTTTTGTAATTGAAACATTTCAAATTTAAATTTTAAGATAATTTAATATATTAAAAAAAAAGGTTTATAGAGTTAAGGTTTACTAGATTTTTTTTATATTAGAACTATCTTCTGATAAAAATGATTTATAAATTTTTCATTCATCTAGTGATATTTTTTAGTAACACCCAAATGTAAAAAATTTAATTTAAAAATTATAAATAATTTGATAACTAAAAAAAGGTTTTATGAATATTATAATTTAACATATCGAAATTGATTCTAATGATTTTTGTTTTTGTAACTAACATATTTTAGAAATATAATTTTGAATTTTTAAATAATTTATAAATTAAATAAATTTTATAAATATTATAATTAGTAATAAAAAAATATTTTTTTTATCTAATCGTTACGATAAATTATTATAATTAGCTTTTACAATTTAATTATCTATCTTTTTTACTGAACTTTAAGTGATAAGAAAAAAAGGTTTAGAGTTAATTCAAAATAATGTCTCTGCTTCAACTCACTGATCGGATATGTTCCTCACCAACATCGCCAACTTCCTCCTCTACCATCCGCAAAACGCAGCTCCTTGATGTCATTTTCGAGGACTTGATTCGCGTTTCCAATTCCAACTCCGTTTTGTTCTCTTACTTTCGCATCCTCTGCGCCTCGAGATCAAAATGCTAATTGAAGATTGCTCCAATGGAAGAAGCAAGTTCAATCTGCTCGTGAAAATCGAAACCGTCGCCGACCCCTTCCACAGGCTCACCGGAGAACTATCCACGCTCCTCGATGTTTTCCCTCTCCAAGAACTCCACCTAAATGACGACGTTCAAAAAATGGCGCAAAGGTTCAAGCATCACATTTGGCGCCTAGATTTGAATTCAAATTCAAATTTGAATTCAAATCTCCACTCCCCATGTGCTTGGCCGTGAACCTAGGTGCTCTAATGCATCTAAATTTAATTTAGGAAGCATTTAGGGTTGATTTGAAGGTGCACATATTCAGCCACTAGTGGTGAAAAACATGTGACTCGAATGCAACTTAAATGCCTTTCAAATTAAATTTAGGTTAGCTTAATTAGCCTATTTAAGTAATCCTTTCAAATTCCTATTCTAATGGCCTAAATACAATGGCTAATCAAATACAATGGAAAGGAAAAATTACAAGAATTAAAATGAGCCCAATATTGGGTACCAAAAGCCCAAAGACCCATGAAGCCCAAAACTAGGCCCAATAAGCCTATGGCCCAAAAATGCTATCCTATGTGGTCCAAAATACAAGACCAAAATATATGAAACCTATGCTAATATGATTTGCGCCATTTTTCTTTCAAATCGAGCCTATATAAGTTCAATTCCTTCATTCATGTATTTACTTTTGAGCATAGAGAAATCTGAAATAAAACTTCAGCCGTTTTCTCTCCAAGATTCACCAAAAGTCCTAGCTTTAGCTTTAGGAATCCGAACCTTCCTAAAGCCATTTGTGATCTTTCCTTGGCACTCCTTGCTTGAGTGCTTCCATCTAAGGTTTGAATCTTCAAACCTAGTCTTCTTCCTCCATATTTTCGTTCAACTTCATGGTCTCAAGGAGATGATCAAGTGCGGAATCAAGAAAGAGAGATTCATTGCTTCATCTCTACTACTTGGCTCCATCATGTATAGGGTCAGATTTTGATACTCATTTGTAATAACTGATTTCTTGGTTGAAGGGATCCATTCCCTTGGCAGAGATGAATTTTTATTCTCTTTTCTCTTTGTTCTTACTATTTCTTTTGGGCCATGTCATAACAGACATGGATAAATCACAGGCTTTAATGACAGAATTAAAATCAGCATGCATTACAAAAGTAGACAGACACAATTTTGAGCAGTACTCAGCCTAAATCGAATTATGCAGACTTGCAAAAAAGATCAAAAACAACACAAGTGATGCTTTTGTATGTTAAACTTTTTTTACAAAATACAAGTTTGATAACAAGAAATACACAACATAATAGTAGAGATGAAGCAATGAATCTCTCTTTCTTGATTCCGCACTTGATCATCTCCTTGAGACCATGAAGTTGAACGAAAATATGGAGGAAGAAGACTAGGTTTGAAGATTCAAACCTTAGATGGAAGCACTCAAGCAAGGAGTGCCAAGGAAAGATCACAAATGGCTTTAGGAAGGTTCGGATTCCTAAAGCTAAAGCTAGGACTTTTGGTGAATCTTGGAGAGAAAACGGCTGAAGTTTTATTTCAGATTTCTCTATGCTCAAAAGTAAATACATGAATGAAGGAATTGAACTTATATAGGCTCGATTTGAAAGAAAAATGGCGCAAAGGTTCAAGCATCACATTTGGCGCCTAGATTTGAATTCAAATTCAAATTTGAATTCAAATCTCCACTCCCCATGTGCTTGGCCGTGAACCTAGGTGCTCTAATGCATCTAAATTTAATTTAGGAAGCATTTAGGGTTGATTTGAAGGTGCACATATTCAGCCACTAGTGGTGAAAAACATGTGACTCGAATGCAACTTAAATGCCTTTCAAATTAAATTTAGGTTAGCTTAATTAGCCTATTTAAGTAATCCTTTCAAATTCCTATTCTAATGGCCTAAATACAATGGCTAATCAAATACAATGGATGTTATGACATGGCCCAAAAGAAATAGTAAGAACAAAGAGAAAAGAGAATAAAAATTCATCTCTGCCAAGGGAATGGATCCCTTCAACCAAGAAATCAGTTATTACAAATGAGTATCAAAATCTGACCCTATACATGATGGAGCCAAGTAGTAGAGATGAAGCAATGAATCTCTCTTTCTTGATTCCGCACTTGATCATCTCCTTGAGACCATGAAGTTGAACGAAAATATGGAGGAAGAAGACTAGGTTTGAAGATTCAAACCTTAGATGGAAGCACTCAAGCAAGGAGTGCCAAGGAAAGATCACAAATGGCTTTAGGAAGGTTCGGATTCCTAAAGCTAAAGCTAGGACTTTTGGTGAATCTTGGAGAGAAAACGGCTGAAGTTTTATTTCAGATTTCTCTATGCTCAAAAGTAAATACATGAATGAAGGAATTGAACTTATATAGGCTCGATTTGAAAGAAAAATGGCGCAAAGGTTCAAGCATCACATTTGGCGCCTAGATTTGAATTCAAATTCAAATTTGAATTCAAATCTCCACTCCCCATGTGCTTGGCCGTGAACCTAGGTGCTCTAATGCATCTAAATTTAATTTAGGAAGCATTTAGGGTTGATTTGAAGGTGCACATATTCAGCCACTAGTGGTGAAAAACATGTGACTCGAATGCAACTTAAATGCCTTTCAAATTAAATTTAGGTTAGCTTAATTAGCCTATTTAAGTAATCCTTTCAAATTCCTATTCTAATGGCCTAAATACAATGGCTAATCAAATACAATGGAAAGGAAAAATTACAAGAATTAAAATGAGCCCAATATTGGGTACCAAAAGCCCAA